CTGCGCAGAGGCTGCCGGCTGCTCTCACGGCAGTTCCCAGGCGCTGAGCCCCCGCCCGCCGCGCGCCCGGCCTCATCCTCCCAAACTAAAGCCTCGTCCCCACTCAGCACTGCTCGCCCCGTCCCCGTCTCCGGCAGCCACCGTGCTACTCCGCGCCTGTGAACTTGGCCTCTCTAGGTCCCTCAGGCAAGCGGGATCCCGTGTCTTCTCGCGCTTGGCAGAAATGTCCCTGGGGCTCACCCACGCCGTCGCTGTGTCAGGATCTCCCTCTTCCTCCGTGGCTGCGCGATAGTCCACCTCACGCCCAGGCCGTGTTGTGCTCACCCAGCCACCCAGTGAAGGACACCTGGGCTTGTCCTGCCCCTTGGCTCTTGTGAGTAGTGTGGCTCTGCACGCAGGTGTGCAAAGATGGGCTCTCTTCCCCCTTTCGCCTGGGATCTACACCCAGAAGCAGATCCACTCGCTTCTGACATGGTATCTCTTCACTTCAGGGGAGACTTTGGAGAACCCCAAATCATGAAGGTTTCAAAACCTGCCCACTCTCCACTGGAGCCCCCAAGATGACAGGGCTCCGGTCCCCCCACTCCTACGTGGAAAAAGGTTTTTTGTTTGTCGGTTTGTGCTTCCCCTTGAGTCACGGCTCTAAACATAAAGGAAGTCCAAGGGTCCCCGCCGCTGCCTCTGAGAAAATGGTCCGTCTTGCCCAACCCTCCCAAAAAGGGAACCCGGGGCTGAGCTGCTCCGTCCAGGTGGGTCAGCCTCGCGCCGAAGGTCAACGGGCCACGCATGGGATTTGAGAACAAAGGGGAAGTCTAGAATTCTCCAGTCTAGCCATCCCTGTGAGAGATAGGAAAGCCGAGCCCCAGGTTGGCGGCCGGCGCCAGGTCAAGTTCAAGGTCACAAAATCAGACTCGGCCCCACGGCCGGCCCAGGTGTCTGGCTGCGTGGAAATCACAGGCCTTCTGCCTCAACCCCACCTGGGAGTTGGGGAGCAGGGCCATCCCCGCCAGGAGCAGCCGCAGTGATTGGGAGTCAGGGCCAGAGGACCCTCTATCAGGATTGGGGTTTTGTTGTTTTTTTTTTAAGAGATGTTAACACTGAGTGTCTTTCCGGAGGTCCGATACCATCAAGACCTCTGCTTCGTGAAGAAATCTTGGGGTTCTTTCACAATCTCTGCTCTCAGCTCTTTCTCAGAACAGGTTCGTGTGAATCAAAACGGTGTGGTTGTTAATTAACTACCATATAGGTGATTGGTTCCTGTTTTTTTTTTTTCTTTAACTCAGCTCACAAGGGCCAAAAGGAAGTTCCCTGGGTGCACTCGACTCCACAAGGGGGTGAATTGAAGGCTTGGCCCTGGGACTGGCTGTGCCTCGGTCATTGTGCCAAGCTTAGAGGAGAGAATGTTCTCAGAGGGGAGAAGGGAAAGGGATTGTGGGCTCCGGGGCTCACAAGAGTGGGCCCCAAGAATTACCACCCTTCAGCTGGGGGACTCCAGTAACTGGGCGCCCTGTCTCCCCCGGGTCAACACGCATGAACCCCAGAGCGTGCAGTTGGGCCCTGGGTGCATAGCAGCTGGCATTGAGGGTACCCTCCAGGTCCCAGCCAAAGGGGAGTGCAGAGCTTCCTAGTGGAAGGCTGCTCCCTCACCTGCCACTCCACCCAGGCTCTTGTGCACCCACATACCTTCTGGGTGCTGCAAAGACTGGGGGGTCGGGGGGATTTGGTTCTTGCCCCCCCCCCATTCCTGAGGGGCTGTTTCCCTGGTGCTGAGAGTCCTAGAGGTGGGCGTGCAGAGCGCTGGGCCAGGTCCATTCCTAGCAGGTCAGGGAAATGTGCCTCAGTTTCCCTTGTGGTGTGCGAAGACAGTCTCCGCCGGCAGGTGTTGGGGAGCACGCATCACGGGCTAGGGGGATTAGGCCCTGCTCCCCTTTCCTCCTGAGCAGCAAAGGGGCTCCCACCCCCCTTCATCTGATGGTCCAGAGCATGGAGGCCTGGGTGGATCGGGGTCCAGTCTCTAAGCTCGGCTCCTCTGTGAAATGGGCTGACAATGACCCAACCCCAGGCCAGCAGCCGAGGCTGGGCCCACGCTGGCCACAAGAGTCTGTCTCGTGCCGCGACACCAAGTGTCATGCTGCCCTGGCTGCCAGTCGGCCCGCTAATAACACGCTACTGGGAGACAGTCAACCACCGGGGCGTCTTTCCAAAGAGAGACAAACCGCAGCCCTCGGGGGCCCCTAGGGAACAAGGATGGGGGAACCCAGCCCCCTACCCTCTCACAGCATGGGGGGTCTCCTCCAGCTGACTCTGCCACCCTTGGGGGGTGCTGAAGCCAAGAGGCAGAAGGAGGAAGGAAGGGGTGTGCGGAGCCCTGGCCGGGCGGGGAGACGCAAGAGGACAGTCCCCCGGACATAAGCGCTGCGGCGCTGGGGGAGGACCGGCCGAGCCCTGCGAAGCAAGAATCTGACAGTGGGGATACCCCGGGGGCCGCAGGCCGGGAGGGCCTTGGGGCGTCCTCAGCTCCTGGTTCAGGACTAGTCACCCTCCTTAGGATGTACCACAATGGGCAGGGCGCTGGGCGGGGCGCTGCCTCCAGAAGCTTCTCCCCACAGGCCGGGCTTTGCGCTCCTCCAGCCCCGGCCCAGCACACCCCACACTTGTCTGCTGTGACTGAAGCCCCTTCTTGCCCCAGCAGCCCCACAGTTGTGGGCTTCATTAGGTAGACCCACCCACGAGGCCCACGCAAGGTAGGGCGAGCTGGGCTGAACCCCTGGGCCCAGAGGCCACCCCAAACCCTTGCTCTCCCATCAGAGTTCTAGCCAGAAGTTGGGGTGCCGCTCCGGCCTGGCCCTGGGTCATCCCCTGGGGCAAGGGTCTGTTGCCAGGCCAGAGCTCCAAGCTGCCCTCTCTAATCTCCCTCCACCAGGCCTCCCAGCCTGCCCCTCGGCTGTCTTATCGCCCCGGGGCCTCGCTGGAGTTGAGCAGCGGGCCTGATTCCTTTCCCGCGCTTGGTCCTATCGCCCCTGCACCCAGCCCTGCGAGGCGCCTGGCCCGGGAGTGGTTGGGGGCCTCCTCCTGTAAGCCTGGGGGGCAGGGAAGAGGAGCCATCTTCAGGGGGTCTGCTCTCCTCCCTACCTACCTGCATCATTTCCTGGCTTCAGCCTGGACACAGGCGGGTAGGGAGGAACGCAGACCCCCTGAGGATGCCTCTGTTCCAGGAGCCCCCAGGAGATCCTCAGGGGCTGGAGGGCCTGAGATTCTTTTTACTCCAGAGGAGTCTGCACGGGAGGCCAGGAACCCTGGGTGGGCTGGCTCTGCCACTCTGCCTCCCCGCAGGGCCTCCCCCACCGACTCCTGGGCTCAGTGACCAGGCTGGGCTGGGCTGCCCCTGGAGTTGGGAACAGCCACGTCTCTGTCCCCATCCACAGAGACCTCAGGCCCCCAGGTGGGGCAGAGTGGGGCTCTGCTCCTGCCTTCAGTCCCCCCGACCCCCTGCACAACTCACACCCTCCCTCCAGCCCCCAACCAGAGAGAAGGTAGCTCCCTCTCTGGGGACCACACTCTGGGCTGGAGCCGTGGGTGAGCGCAGCCCTGCTCTGGCCCCTGGGGCCCGGCTGGCACAGCGAGGTGGATCTGCACCCGAGGCCTCCTCAGGCAGCCAGTCTGCTGGGCGCCCGACAGGCAGCGGCGCCCGTGATGGACTTGCCAGCGCCACAAGCCCAGATGTCCCACCTCACAGGAAGGGAGCCCAGCCCAGGGAGGCGAAGCACCTGCCTGAAACTGCACAGCAGGGGAGGTGCGGTCCTAGCCCACAGGCATCAGACCCCAAAACCTCAGCTCAAATCTCCCCTTTTGGTGGATCCCACCGGGACGCAAATACAGCTTTCTGGATGTGGGTGTGCATGTGTCATGTTGTTATAGGACAGGGAGAGGGGCAGCCCAAACCCCGCAAACCTGCCTATTCTACATGGGTTCTGCCATCCGCCGCATCAACACAAAACATATGAGACTAATGGGAAGGATCTTTAATAAAACTAGGAAACAATACAGGTAAGGCAAAGAGTCTAGTTTCTAAATGAAGCACCCAAAGTGACCCGTCCCCTCGTGGGTAAAAGTCCATCCAAATGGGATCGGCCCAGAGCAAGGCCCCAAGGCCTGCCCCAAGTCTAAAACATCTTCCAGTGGGGACCCACAGCAAAGGGTCACAAACAACCGGACAAGCCCGGAAGGAAAAGAGCAAAATCAACATCCAGATAAAAACTGCCATGGTCACCTCCCCACGGGTCTCACCCACATCTGTGTCACCCCATCCATGACCAAAAGACAAGCGCAGTTTCTTTACGTGTCTCTAGGCTCCATGCGCCTCCTCCAGGTCTCCTTCTGGCTCCATCCTGCTTCCTTCCTCAGTCTCTTCTGCAGCTTCTTCTCTTCCTGCTCAGCTCCACCCTCCCTTGGGTGGGGCAGGGAACCTGGAACTTCCCCCTTTCCTGGGGACCACCCTGTTACAATGTGGGGATGCACCCCTGCACTCCCCCCAGCTCCCCTGCAGTGGCACGACCCAGGGCTGCTGGAGGGCAGGTGACAAGCAAGGGAGCAGGAAGGGGCTATAGGACTTGGCGCCGCCGAAGCAGGGACACAGAGGGTGACGTAACCCTCTCCTGTGCTGAGTCTGGAAATCCAGGGGTGGCAGCAAGACCGGGTCCTCCCGGAGGGTCTGAAGGAGGGTCCGTCCCGGCTCCCTCCTGGTGCCCTGGCTGGCCGGTACCCCTTCTGCGAGGACGCCAGTTTTGCTGGGCCTGGGGCGCGGCCCATTCTGTCGGCAAAGACCCTCCGTCCAGATAAGGTCACATTTGGGTTGCCAGGCAGAAATGAACTTTGGGGGGCAGGAGTCAGCCCCCGACAGCGGGTATTTGATTACAGGAGGACCTGCGTCCCGTCCTGGAGGAGCCGCCCCCTCCCCTCGCCGTGCTCACGTCCCCCCTGCAGGCCTGCGGCTGCCTCCCAAGATGCCACGCTCCTTCCTGGTGAAGAGCAAGAAGGCGCACACCTACCACCAGCCCCGCGGCCGGGAGGAGGGACTGGTCTGGCCACCTGCCCTGAGCCCCGGTGAGTCAGAGCCCCAGCTGGCCTCCCGCTGCCCCGTGACGGGGACGCAGCACCCCCAACCCCGCCCCAAGGACCCTCACCCACGCCTGGAGTGAGAGGAGCTCAGTGAACGCCAGTGGGAGGATGAATGAATGAATGAATGAATGCCTCTCTCCTGAGCCCTGGGGGGCGAGAGTGCCACCTTGGGGTCGCAGCAGGCCCTGGGAGCTGACAGGGACTAACTGGAGGTCCATTCTGGGGCTGAAGTCGGGTTTCGGGCTCCTCCTGGCCTCTGCCCTGCCGCCACCAGCCTGGGCAGAGCAACCCGGGATCCGGTCTCTGGGACCCTCAGCCCGTCGGGGCTGCCCAGAGCTGCCGCTGGGGTCTCTGAGAGTCTTCTTCCCACAGCGGCCAGGGACCAGGTCCTGAGCAGCGACCCTGTCCTCGGCACCCTGTTCTCAAGCCAATGTCTGAACTGGACCGACCTCAAGCGGGAGCCAGAGCTGGCGCTGGACCAGAGCCTGCCCAGGACGGCCTCTGCCCCAGGTGCCTGGGAGTGCCGGGCCGTGGGGCCGGGCGGCTCCTGGGAGGGGACCCCTGTCACCGGGGGGGCGGGAGGACCCACAAGGTCGTCTGGATGAGGTCCAGCCCTCTGGCTTCCACTTGGACGCCTCTGGGATGGGGTCTCCCTGCCAGATGAGGCTTCTGGGGGGCTAGAAGCCATTCAGCCGGTGGGCTGGCGCGCGGCTGGGGGGGGAATGTCCGGGCTGAAAAGCTGGGGAGCTACAGGGAAGACCCAGACCCTCTCCACAGTAAATATTTGGGGCTACAGACCAAACCCTTCAGCATGATGTCACTAAGTGGAGAAGTGGGGGGGGAGGGGACCCCGTCTTTGTGACTCATCAGGTATCTGCCACTTTCCGCAGAAGGGCCTGTTGTGAGGTCCCGACCTCAGGAAGGAGACTCGCCCCCCTCCGACTCACCCCCGTTCTACAAGCCCAGCTTCTCCTGGGATGCCCTGGCCTCGTCCTACGGCCACGGCTACCGGCAGGCCCCCTCCACCATGCAGTCCGCCTTCCTGGAACGCTCTGTCAGCCTGTACGGCAGCCCTCTGGTGCCCAGCGCTGAGCCGCCCCTGGACTTCAGCCTCCGCTACTCTCCGGGCATGGACGTGTACCACTGCGTCAAGTGCAACAAGGTGAGCGTGGGGGCTCGCAGCCCTGCTCTGCCGCCTCTCCCCAGCACAGCCCGGCAGCGCAGAGGTTCACAGCCCCCCCCCGGGGGTCCTGGGGTCCCCAGTGGGGTCAAGGATCCCCAGGGCCTGTCTGCATCGCCGTGCACTGAGCCTTGAGGGGCCGTGGGTGAGCCCTTGACTCGCACGGCCCGGGAGGCGGAGGCAGGGCTTCGGCCCGGAGAGGTTGAGCCACTGCCCGAGAGCGCCAGCGAGCAGGTGTCAGAACCAGCGCTCGGACCCGGCTCAGGTCAACTGGCTGTAACCGCTGGACGACTCAGCCTCTAGATAAGGCTCGGAGGAACCTTCCAGATCCCTCTCCCAGGCCCAGCGATAGATAAAAACCGAGCCACGGAGCAGGAAAGGGCCCCGGGACACAGCGAAGCCTCAGAAGCGGCCATCTGGGGCTCCTCCCCCGCACGCTCACTGTGCCGGAGCTGGGGGGGCGCCTGTCTCCCCGCTGCACCCCTGCAGCCTCCTGCTCCCCCACCCCAGGTGTTCTCCACCCCCCACGGGCTCGAGGTGCACGTCCGCCGCTCCCACAGCGGGACCCGGCCCTTCGCCTGCGACGTCTGCGGCAAAACCTTCGGCCACGCCGTGAGTCTGGAGCAACACACCCACATCCACTCTCAGGTGGGTGAGCAAGCCGAGGGGCGCCACGCCGGCCCGCGCTCCCTCTGAGGCCGGAGGCTGCGGGGCTGACGGGGCAGGCCCCGCGCCGCTCTCCCCCTGGGTCTTCAGCACCCACCCTGGACTGACCGTGGCAGCTTCCCGGGCCGCGGCCGGGGGGACGTCAGGGGGGCCTTGGCGTCTGCACGCTCAGAAGGAGGCACCCCTGGTCGAGCAGGGCGCCCCTGGATGAGCAGGGCAGGGCCCTTGGCTTTGAGGCCTGGACTGGGAGAACCTGGGAGTGGGGCTTGCCAGCGCAGGACTCCGCTCCAAGGGGCGCACCTGAGCCTGCCCCCAGCTGCTGACACCTGCGTAAATATCACAGGCCAGGTGGGGAGGCGGGAAACCGGGCGCTTCCGTCTGCAGGCGTGGGCCGAGTGCCAGCTGCCGCGGCCTCTCCTCCAGCCTCCCCACCGCTCTGAGGTCACGGCTACTGTTCAAAGGGCAGGGGAAACTGAGGCCCAGGGCTTGACTGATGACTTGCTTGTGGTCACGGGGCCAGTAAGAGGCAGAAGAATGAGCTGCAATAATTCAGACTCTTGTGAAACCACCACCGCCCATGACTCACGGGACTCGCCCTCGGCTAAGGAACGCGAACCCAGGGGACGCTCCCAGGCGTGTAGGTCCATTAGTCAGTCAACAAACAGGCATCGAGGCTTATGTTGAGTGGGATGCAGCCAAGGTCACAAGGGAAAATCCCACGGGAGGCCACGCAGACCCCAAGTCTTGGTCTCTCCTGGGATACAGGAGTGGGGGGTTGGTCCCTGCGCCTGCTCCTCCAGGCTGTGTGCTGGAGGTCACCCCAACGGAGTGTCCTGTTCCTCAGGGGATCCCGGCCGGGTCCAGTCCTGCGCCCAGCGTGGCAGTCCCGGGTCGCGAGGCCCCAGCTGCACCTGACCCCCCGGGGCCTCGTTTCCTCCGGCAGGAGCGCAGCTTCGAGTGCCGGATGTGCGGCAAAGCCTTCAAGCGCTCGTCCACGCTGTCCACCCACCTGCTCATCCACTCGGACACGCGGCCCTACCCCTGCCAGTTCTGCGGCAAGCGCTTCCACCAAAAGTCGGACATGAAGAAGCACACCTACATCCACACAGGTGAGCCCCGGCCCCCTGCCCGCCCACCCAGAGCCCCTGGGCGCCCCCACTTCCACTGTTACAAGGTCCTGGCTTTCAGACAGGGGCAGGGGTAAGTTTCAAAGGGGGGTGCACTCCCCTCCAGCAGGAGGGCTGGGCACGATGTTACTGAAGCACACTTACTGCCTAGAAAAAACAAGGGGCCTCCCTGGTGGCGCAAGGGGTTAAGACGCAGTCCACAGCCTCTGCAGCACGAGCTCCATGCCCGGCCAGGGAGCTACCCACAGGGCGCAGCAGACCTCTCCTGGCTCCCCGCTGCTCCCCCAGCAGTGGATTTCAGTAGATCTGCCTGTTGTGCTCCCCACTCTGTCTCTGGGGAATCCTCTCACCCCCACACCTCTGGCCTGCACCCCGGTTCTTGTGTGCATAAATAAATCCTTAAAAAAAATAAAAAATAAGGCAGGAGGCAGCAGAACGTGAACCCCAGTTGTCGGTGGGCAGGAGGGGGTCAGCAGGGGATTTCTGGTCACTCGCTCCTGCCACTCCCCTTTCCTCCTCCTCAGTCACCCCTCCACGCGCTTATCCATTCCTCCTCCGCTCCTCGGTGCTCACCCAAGTGTCTCTTTTGCCTGGGCCCTGTGCAGGGGGCTGCACTGGGTGGGTAGACGGGGCGGATCCAGTCCCTGCCCTAAACAGGCCACAATCCCTTGGCGGGAGGCGGTCGGAGCTGGCTCCTCTGCGCGGCCCCTTTGTTCTGATATCTGCTGAAGGGCGCGTGGGCTGGCTGTGACACCTCACAGAAAGTTTTGGGGAACAAATGCAGAGCATCGGGTTGCAGGCCAGGGGGCTGCCCTGACTCCCTCCTTGCTGCCCTGCAGGTGAGAAGCCACACAAGTGCCAGGTGTGTGGGAAGGCCTTCAGCCAGAGCTCCAACCTCATCACCCACAGCCGCAAGCACACGGGCTTCAAGCCCTTCAGCTGTGAGCTGTGCACAAAGGGCTTCCAGCGCAAGGTGGACCTGCGGCGACACCGCGAGACCCAGCACAACCTCAAGTGAGGTGCGCCCGTGCCGAGCCCAGCCAGCCTGCCCTGAGTCCCCGCCACCTGGCAGGACCAGCCTCATCACCCGGATCCCCAGCCCACTGGAGGCAGCACCCGACGGGAGTCCTACCTAGCTTGTTGGAGACTCAGGAAGTTGCTGTGTGACCTCAGGCAAATCGCACTCCCTCTCTGGACCAGCATTTCATCTGCTGCAAAGTATGGGAGCTGGGTCGGGTCTTTCTGAGCGGAAGTTGTCTACAGGTGTAAAACTCAGGTGCCTTCCCAAGAGCAAAGCCCAGGCGAGAGTCACCCCAGGTGGCTGGGGCAGCCAAGGACAGACTGACCGAGCCAGCACCCACAGAGAAGCCCCTCCGTCCGCTGCTACTCACAGAGCCAAAAGCCGGTCGCCCTCCTTTTAATTGGGCCTCTTTCTGGCTGCCGTGGATGGCCTGACCCCCCGACACTGCCCGCTGTGGGGACCTAGCACCCCTCTGCTTTTGCCAGATATGCTGACTGCCCCCCCTTCTGCCTGGCACAAGCTGGCCGGTGGGCTCCAGGTCTGCTGTCAGATCATGAGGCCGGAGGGGCCAGCAGTTACTGCGATCAAAGCCTGTTCTGTAAATAAAAATAAAGACAGATTTCTTTACCTTTGACCAGCATTTCATTGGCACCACTGGGTGCAGCTAGCGCAGGAGGCCCTGGGGAGGCCTGGCGGGGCTCTGAAAAGCAGGAAGAACACGGGCTTGTTCACGGACACGCATCCCCAGACGGAACCAGCCAGTGCTGACGCCAGCGCTTCATACCCCACCTCCCCGCCGCGTGCCGTGCCCGGGAGGCCAGGTGGAGGCGGCCGGGCGGGAGGAGCTCCCGGGGCTTCTGTAACAGATGCCTTCAAACAACCCAAGTGTGCTCCCACAGTCTGGAGGTCAGAATCCCAAAATGAGCCTGTGTGGCTACACCCCAGGTGTTACTTAGGGGGTCTGAGCTCCCTCTGGAAGCTCTGGGGAAGCACTCAGCTTCTGGAGGCACCTGCGAGGTTGGCTTGGGCCACTCTCTCGTCCCTTAGTAGACGCTGGCGACCACAGCCGGCCCACCGGGGCGGTCCAGGTGGTCTTCCCACCACCACCACGGGGTCTTCAACATACTCGGTGTTCACCATGGACACTGAGTAATGGCCCCCTAAGATGGCATCCCTGTCCTCACCCCTGCAGCCTGAAAGTTGGCCTTATACGGCAAGAGGGCCCGTGCAGATGTGACTCAGTGAAGCGAGCCTGGCCATCCCTGGCTGTGCAGGCTTCCTCCTCTATGAGCTGGTCTCCGCACCAGTGCCTTCCTGAGGGTCCTAGGGAGGATCCCCGTGTGTGCCCAGCAGCTGCAGGGCCTAGTGCATGGTAAGCGCTTCCAGGCTCCCCAGGCCAGGCTCCCCTTTTGAAGTCCTTAGGAGGCTGGCTCAAAGGCCGCCTCCTCCACGAAGGTCCCCTTGGTCATTCCAGTCTGTCCTCCCACCCCTGCTCCCTGAGCTCCTAGGGTTCCTTGCTCATGGCTCAGGGACCCTGAACCTGGAATGGGTTCCCTGTGGGTGACTCTGCTCTCTTCTAGTAGAAATTCATTTTCCCTGCACCCCAGACTTCAGCACCAGAGCGCCTGCCTGGCTCACAGCAAAGGACACTGCTGAGTGACCCACTCCTGAGTTCCAAGCTGGGCCCAGGGTTGCCACACACAGCCCCTAGCGCCAGCAAAGGAGGTGCCGTTATCCCACCTCACAGATGAGGCTGTGCAGGCGCAGAGAGGGTGACCAGGTTGCCCAGGGCACACAGCAGATCTGATCCCAACTGGAGGCTGCCTTTTCTTTCAGCCCCGCCTCCTCTCCCCCCACCCCCTGCCCTGAGTCCCTGGGGTTGGAGGCCCCTGGGGAAGAACAAATCCCTCACTCTCAGGCTCTGGGTCTGGCTGGATCCAAACGGGACTCTTTACCAGAGTCTCTTCCGTCTGATTTAACCAGAACTCTCCTGAACAAACGTGACAGGGGTGCAGGGAGCGGGTGGGGCTGGGGATTTGCATGGGGGCGGTCTGGGCTCCTCAGCTAGGTCCTGCTCTTGCAGGCAGGGGCAGGACCTCCAGTAGCAGTGCAGCAGAGCCAGCAGGTCCATGAGAGGACCACCTGCTCCCTGCCCGCTCCTGTACGGGGGAGGGGGCTGCCCAAAGCCACCCAGCAGGCCAGGCCTGGGTGGGCTCCTGACTTCAGCGAGGGGCGAGGGCCGCCAGACTCCTCAGGGGAATGGCGGGAGCTGGAGCTGCTTTGCATGCTCCTTGTTTGCTAAACAAAACCACAGCAACAGCAGGATTTCAGCGGCTCCCACAGCAGGGCGGGCCTGGAGAAGGAGGCCTTGGGGGTGGGGGGTTGACAATAGACCTTTCTTCCTCTGCTGAGGTTGGGGAGATCCAGATTTTGCTTGCAGCCACTCCCCTGGGGGGAGCGGGACCTCTGAGCCGTGGGGGTTGGCGCCCTGTGTGTACCTGGCAGGGAGTGGGGGCCAGTGTGTGTGTGTGGGGGGGGTGTGAATCCTGTTTCCCAGGGAGAAAAATCCTCAGGCTATGGAGGGGCCTGGCTGGGGGTTCACCGGCCTGGAAGGCAGGATTGGGGGCTGTCAGGTGCCCTGCTCCCTGAGCTGAGAGCAGCCCACTCCCCTGCCCGGCCCGGCCCTCACTGGGCGCCAGCACCCCAGGGCTGTGGCAGGAAGGACAGCAGCAAGCGGGGAAGGTTCCCTGATGTAGCTCAGCGCACCCTTATCAAAGCTGCCTCCCCAGGCTGTGGGTGCTGCGCCTGTTACGCAGCAGGTGTGTGTAGATTCCGCTACAGCTGACGTGGAGGGTGTCCTGGCTGCCTTGGCCACAAAGGGCCCAGAGGCTGGGAGAGGGGAGGCCGTGGCCCCAGTCCCCCCAAACCTTTAAGCAGTGACATCACACAGAAGTCAGGCTGGGGGTTCCACCAGGCCCGTGGGGTTCGTTGCCCACACCAGGGGACTCTGCAGTGCAGATGGTGACCTGTGAGGCTGCCGGAGAGGCAGGTGGCCGGGGCGGCAGCCGTATCACCCACCCACAATGTCACCGCACTCCGGTGCACAGTGAACAGACACTGGAGTGTTGAGAAGGCTCCACCAATGTGCCATGCAGCTTCTGAGCGTTACTCTGAAGCGCCTAGTGGGCCGTGGCAACTTCAGGCCCCAGCCCAGCCCCCAGCTCTGCATGCTCCCTGCCCCAGAGCAGCCTCCCAGGCAGGGCAGCAGGGCCCTCCAGCTCGGGTCCAGGGCCCTGAGGGACAGACTGGGAGAGGCCCAGCGGCTTGCCATGGAAATCACTGATAAGGATGAAAATGCGTCTTAGGCCAGCCCAGACAGTGGTGTGGGTGGCTGCTTGGCACCAGCCTGTCACCCCCACCCCTGCCCAGAGTGGGCGTGGGCGGACTGAGGCAAGGAGGCTGGAGCGGACACCGGGGTGGAGGGGGAGCTGGGTGGAGTGGGGAGCGGCTCCCCGGAGAGGGAACAAGGCCTTCCCCCCTAGAGCATCCAGGCCCTGGCCAAGCCTGTTCTCGCCGCCCTGCTGAGCCCTGCTGAGCCCGGCTCCATTCAGGCAAACGCTACTCCAGAGGGAATAACGCAGTGTCCGCCTGGCCAGAAGTGGACCAGGCTGGGCTGGCCGCATGTGGGATGGAGGCTGCCATGGGCGGGCTGGGCAGCAGGAAAGACCCTGGAGAGTCTTTGAAAGGCACCCAAGGCCCCGTGGACAGCTTTGGGAAGCCGGGGTGGGGAACTGAAGAGTCAAAGAGTCAAACTTTAGACAGACTGCCCCGGGGTGCATCGGAGTGCGGCCGTGCCCGGGGAGAGGGAGCCCGGTGCCGAGCTTCACGCCACCTTGCACAAGGCCCTCTGGCTCCCTGGCAGGGCAGGAGAGCTCCCGGGGATGGGCAGAGAGACACACGGAAGAACAGCTCACCTGGACTTCTGCAGGGCAGCGAAGTCCTCCCTGTTACCCCCAAAGGGCCTTTAGGGGGTCCTCCCTGCCATGTCTCACCTTCCCAGGAACCCGTTCAGCCTGGAAACCCAGCTCCGTGCACAGCAGCTGGGGGCAGTCATGGGTGGGCCTGCAGATTAGCTCCAGGGCCCCCCCAATGCCCCGAATGGGCAAAACAAACTTAGTCTCCCAAACGCCCAACTTAGCCGCCCAAACGCCCTAGAGGGGGCCGACAAGTGCCGGGGTCAGCACCCCCGCGGGGGAGCCAGCGCTTTGCAGGGGCAGGTAGCCCACCCTGGCTGGTGGGGACAGCGCTCCCGGCCTGGCAAAGACCCCTGGGGGCCGCGCCTGGGGGCTGCTCAGGAGACAAATCTGAAGATGGTCCCCAGCAGCAGCGTCGCCGGGGCTGGGAGGGCGGGTCACTGCGGGGCTCTCCACTGAGCACCGCGCGGGGGCTGTGCGCGGGCTTGTGGCGCGTGTTGCTGGGAACGGATGCAGAACAACTGCGTCGGCGCAGGAGGCTGTGCGTGACATCGCCGGCGAGAAGGTGGTTTGAAGATCAGTCCACGAGCTGCGCCGGGCTAGTTGCACGCAGGGGAGGCAGCGAGGGGGTGCAGCGTGGCACGCGCTGTCCCCCTGCGCTGCCCCGGGCGCTGCCCGCCAGCCCAGGGAGCTGCTGTGCGTGGCCCCCTCGTGTTTCATGTGGTTTTAATTTTCTGCAACCAGCGCACACAAGAGCTTTATCACGGGCATTAAAAAAGACGCCCTCCTCCAAGCACCCCGCGCTTGCTGGAGGTCCCCGTCCCTTCCCTCCCTCCGGCTCAGGGGCAGGGTTGGGGGGGCAGGTTCCTTCTCCTGGCTGACTGGCCCCCAGCCCAGCAACCCCCTCTGGCAGAGTCTGGGTCCAATCCCTTGGGTGCTAGCACTTAGCTTGGGGGCCAGCAGAGAGCAGGTCCCCAGCTGCTGGCTCCTCCTTGGCATCCGGGGTGGAAGCCCCCGCTTCGG